GACGAAGGGAGCTTTGACTCTTGAAAGCTTATACCCTGAAAACCTTGTTGGTCTCTAAGATGCTCAAATCTATTTGTAGGTAGATCAAGATGGGTAGCCGTATTAGTTTGTCTGTAGCAGCAGAAAAGAGCACAAGTCTAGTAGCACCTTAAAGACTAAGCAGAAAAGAAGAGAAGAGATTGGATTTATATCCTGCCCTTCACTACCCAAAGGAGTCTCAGAGCGGCTAACAAACTCCTTTCCCTTCCCCTCCCCACAACAGACACCCTGTGAGGTGGGTGGAGCTGAGAGAGCTCTTGACAGAAACTGCTCTTTTTCAAGAACAGCTGTGCCAGAACTATGGCTTGCCCAAGGTCATTCAGCAGGTGCAAGTGGAGGAGTGGGGAATCAAACCCGGTTCTCCCAGATTAGAGTCCACGTACTTAACCACTACACCAAACTGGCTCTCAAGAGCAAGTGTCCAGTAGCATCTTAAAGAGTAACACAATTTGTGGCAGGGGATAAGCTTTCATGAGTCACCACTCACTTCTTCAAATCTCTAGACCTGAAGAAGTGAGCACTAATTTACGAAAGCGCATACCCTGCCACAAATTGTCTTTAAGGTGCTACTGTAGTCTAACTCTTGCTCTTTTCTAAATCTATTTGTAGTCTGTGTTTCTCACTGGACCTTGCAGCAGAATATGAGTATGATGAGAACTGTTCAGCCATTCATTGGTGTAGTGGTTAGGAGCATGGACTCTAATCTGGGAGGTTTGATCCCCCACTCCTCCACATGCAGCTGCTGGAGTGACCTTGGGTTAGTCACAAGTTATTTCAGAGCTGTTCTCTCAAGAGCACTTCTCTCAAGAGCTCTCTCAGCCCCACCTACCTCACAGGGTGGCTATTGTGGGGAGGGGAAGGGAAAGGGATTGTAAACCGCTGTGAGACTCCTTCGGGTAGTAGAGGGTGGGGTATAAATCCAATCTCTGCTTCTTCATTCAGCAAGCGAATTACAAAGTAAGATAAAAGTCTGAATCCAGTGGCACCTTTAAGACCAATAAAGTTTTATTCTGGGTATAAGCTTTTGTGTGAATGCATACTTCTTTAGATACATTGAAACAGAAGTCACCAACCAATACATACAGGTAGTGGGTGAGGAAGGTGTTGCCAGGAAAGGCTAATTAGAGTTAAGAAGCACAAGTAACTGAGCAGTAAATATAGCTATGACTGGATGAAGGTAGTAAGACCTGTGAATAGCAGCAAATTAGCATACAGCATAATAAATGAGTTTACAAATAGATGCAAGAACTGAATGACCTTAGCATGTATAGTGAGATAAAAAACCAATCTCTCTGTTAAGTCCTGGGTGTTCCATTGCCCCAAGTGTTGTAATAACTTGTAACTCAGCAGTCTCCCATTCTAGTCTGTTTCTGAAGTTCCTTTGCAATAAAACAGCTACTTTCAGGCCCCACACTGAATGTCCTGGAAGTCTGGAGTGTCCTCCTACGGGTTTCTGAGTTTTGTGATTCTTGATGTCAAATTTGTGTCCATTTATCCTTTGATGTAGGGTTTGATTTATCTGCCCTATGTAGACAACTGAAAGGCATTGTTAGCATTTAATGGCATATACAATCTTAGAAGATGAGCAAGTGAATAAGCCTGAGATGGTGCAGTTGATATAGTTTGATCCAGTGATTGTGTTGTCTGGGTGTATGTGGCAGCAAAGTTGGCATCTAGATTTATTGCAAGCTCTGATACTAGTGTCCACCTTCAAATTAAGTGTGGTATTAATGTGGGCGAGGAGTATGATAAAAACATTTTAATCTTACAGCAAAGATTCCTGGTACAACAGAACAAGGCGGTGGAGCTGGGAGGATTACAGGTATGAATGAGAAAAGCTATTCAGTCAATCAGCAAGCCGAGTGCAACATATGAAAACAATTCTGTCTAGCAGCAAATGAAACAGAATAATGCAGTGGGGGTTGGGGTTGAAGGATTGGGGGGGAAACAACACACACAAACAAAAAACTGTCCAAGGCGACAGAACAATCAGTATTCTGTCCGCTAGGACAGACTTCAGCTGACGGCTCTAGACCAGGAATGGGTCCATCACAATAACAGTGCAAAACTATGCAGAATTACTCCAGTCTAAAATCATTGCTTTTAATGCATTTAGGCTGGAATAACTTTGCATTTGATTGCAATGTTAATCTTAATGTTAAACAGTCTTTAAACTGCTGTAACATTTCTCTTTGTTTTCTCCTTAATTGAGTTAGCTTTAATTAAATCCACAGTGCCACACTCAGCAATTATACTGCCACAGGAGGTGGTGGGCAGCTACAAGCATGGACAGCTTCAAGAGGGAATTGGATAAAGATATGGAGCAGAGGCCCATCCGTGACTATTAGCCACAAGGTATAGATAGGAACTCTTGGTCTGGGGCAAGTGATGTTCTGTATTCTTGGTGCTTGGAGGGGGCAACAGTGGGAGGGCTTCTAGTGTCCTGGCCCCACTAGTGGACCTCCTGATGGCACCTGGTATTTTTGGCCACTGTGTGACAGAGCGTTGGACTAGATGGGCCATTGGCCTGATCCAACATTGGCTTCTCTTATATTCTTACTTGTCTAACATTATTGAAATCAATGGGTATAGAAGAGTGTAAACCTCTTTAGGATAGGTATGCCTGCCTCCATGTGGGTTTTATAGATCTCCCAGAATTATAACAGATTTCCAGACCACAGGGATCAGTTCCGCTGGAGAAAATGGCTGGAGAAAATGGGTGACCTCTATGTCCCATTCACCTAGAGAAAATGGTGGACCTCTGTGGCATTATACCTTGCTGATGTCTCTCCCCTTCCCCGAATCATAGCCCACTCCCAAATCTCCAGAAATTTCCCAACTCAGAGTCGGCAACTTTACTTTAGGATGGCAACAGCAATGTTACTTTTATCTTTCTCCTCAGTTATTTAACCAGAATTATGATGCATGCAAAAACTTGTTTGCCACTATGTTAAAGTAACAACTTCTACTCAGGAATTCTATGTTTACTACTATCTCTGACCCGGATGGCCCAGGCTAGCTCTAATCCTGTCAGATCTTGGAAGCTAAGAAAGGTTGGGCCTGGTTAGTATTTGGATGGGAGAACACCAAGGAAATACCAGGGTTTCCATCACCAATACAATTTAAATGTCATCAATAATACACCTGACTTGCAGGAAAATAGACATTTGCTTGGCGGGAAATTCCATGAAAAGCAACGCACTTGAGATTAGATTTGAAAATAACAAACGAGACTTGGGGCACTTCAAAGGCAAAACAAGTTGATTATGGTGGAAGCCTTCGCCAACCAGATCCAAGAAAGGACTTCTATTTATTTGACATTTCAGCCCAAAGGCTCTCGGAGCGACCGTACCACAGTTTCTTCCAGATCCGTGTTCCCATATGGCAGTGAGTGGTTTGGGAGTCTGACTGCTGATCAATTCTCCCTCTAAACTGTGGAGTCTTGTGAACAGAGATTCTACTTTGTGAGCTCCTGGCATTAAGGTTGTGAGCGAGCGATTTGGCGACTGCATAAATTAGTGTGCTCTAGAGCCGTCCTTCCTGAGCTAAGACAAAAATGTGTAAGCCGGAGGCTAAAAAACTATGCGCTAGCTCACACTGACTCAGCTTAGAGGGAACACTGCTGCTGATCTAATTTCAGTAGCATTTGTAAACACCTTAGCTGAACATTAAATTGGGTCAAAATATTGTTTTCCCTCCGCGTACAGATATTGTACATTGACACTCACCCCCTCCCCTCCCCTTCCCATAATTTACATGCATTTTACATGCATTTCCCCTCCGCTTCCCGCGTGGCTAGCAACGTGCGGACCGTTCCACCGCCAAGCTTCCCTCTGCTTGTCTTTTTCGTTCTAAAATGGTACTGCCTGGATTCAGCGAGTCACCCTTGCGCGCGCGTTCTCCCTCTCTCTCTCTGGAGATATATTTTGCAAGATGGGCAGGACCGTTAATCTAAGGGGCATTTGGCATGGTGTCAAATTACATCGCAGTCACTTTCCTTTTGCCCGGGCTTGTGCGCGCGCGGTATTCATTCATTCTCCCAAAAAGTTTGGTAACTTTTCAGCGCGGAGCCGGATGGGACTTGTAGGCACTAATGTCGCTTCCTAGAACGATCCGTGGCCCTGTCAAGCCGTGGTCGGGAGGAAGGGTGCGGGGTAGATCTCATCCGCCCCTTAAAGGAGGAATCGGGAGGCAGACTTTCCTCCAACCCCTGCACCAATGCACAGCCCCCGGCACGTTTTACAGAGCAGGCTTTACCGCTTGTCCGCGGGACCTTCTGTTTTTTAAAAAAAGCTCAAATTCTGCAATGGCCATATTTGAGACTAGCTCAGTGCACGAGCCCCACCGCCCGGAAGCTACCACCGTCCTCGACTACACCGCCCAGAATGCGCACCGACGGCCACACAAGCGCATGCCGGGAATTGTAGTTGCGGGGCCGCGCCTCCCTTCTCGTCCTGACTCCTTCCTCGCTCGGCGTCTCTCGCAACAACTCGCGGCCCCTTTTACCACGCCGTCTTCCCTCGAATGGCCTCCTCCCTGCTGAGAGCCTCCTCCAGCCAAACTACGGACGTTCCGCCACCTTCCCCGACTCCTAAGGGGTGAACAACCATTGCCACCGCCTCAATCGCCCACCATGCCTGAGGGCAGCTTCGCCGAAGCGCATCTTGGGTGACGTAGTCCCTGCCTGGCATGACTTCGCCTTTCAAACAACGGAGGAGTAGCTAGGCGGAGGACTCTCCTTCCCAGGGTGCACAGCGCACTCCACCGTGCCGTGGTGCCGGACGGGCATTGTGGTTCTGCGCCTTCCCTCGTCTCCCTTCTCGCTTATGCTCATCGACGCGCCGGGAGACTCGGATTCCCAAGTTGCCCCGCGCGTCGGGGCTGGGGCTCTGTGGGGATTGTTATTGTGGCGGCCCGGCCCCCCCCCCACCCCCACCGCGGAGTCCTCTCAGTGTTTAAAGATGGCGGCGGCGGCGGCTGCTGTGGGAGGCGGCGGCGGCGACGCCACCCTGGGGAGCCTCCTGGGCCTCGGACGGAGCCTGCGCCGCCTGCAGGGCCTGCTGGGTGACAGCAGCAGCAGCGACGGCGCGGAGGAGCCGGTGAGGATCCCCGAGCTGCAGCCGGGCTCGGATCCCTTGGACGGGAAGGGGAAGGGGAAGGAAGGGGGGGGGGTAGGGCCGCTCCTGCAAGAAGGAAAGTCTCTGCGGGGCTGATCGTGGCTGCTTTTTTGCAAGTGGGGCAGGAACATGGGGCGGGGGGAGTCGTCCTTTCTCTTTGCTGTTTCCAGATCCTCCTCCTCGTATGTGGGTTGCCCTCGACGGGCCACCCTCCCTGTTCCCAAAGGCCGGGGATGGGCCGTGGCTGAAAGGGGGCAGAGCATCTCCTTGGCATGCAGGTTCGGTCCCTGGCATCTCCATATTTTTTTTATTAAAAAAGATGAAGTAGTAAAAGAGTCCTGCCTGAAACCCTAAAGAGTTCCAGGGTCAATCATCAGTCCAAAAATGGAGCTAGGAACCGATGTGAAAGATCTCTGCCTGAGATCCGGCTTCCAGTCTGAGTAGACAATCCTGACCTGGATAGGGAAATGATCTGGCTCAGGATGGAGTAATTTTGTGTATTCTTATTAAGGGGGAGGGTCTGGGGTTCGGTGGGATGGCATCTGCTTTGTATACAGAAGGCCCCTGGATCCGTCTCCAGTTAGAAAGTGTTCTGGTGTAGGGGATGTGGGAGATCTCTGCTTGAGATAGCTTTGTGAGTTCATGTGCTCAGAATCCCTCCTGTTCAATACAATCCCTCCTGTTCAATCCCTCCTGGCTCAGTGGCAGAACATGTGCGTTGCGCGCAGAGGGTCCCAGGCTCAATCTCCGTCATCTCCACTTAAAGGATCAGGCACTAAAGTGATGTAGAAAGCCCTTTCCCTGAGACGTTGGAGAGCTGCTGCCCGTCACTGACCTTGCTAGGCAATTAGGATCGTTCTCCTGCTCTGTGTCAGGCACCTCAGGAAATTCACGATGCTGTAATCTTGTGCCCCGGGGAGTAAGCCCTCCTTGGCCTCAGTTGGGCACATCTCCAAATAAGCCAGCAGAGGGCTGCTGAAGGATCTGGCCAATTTTTGCCCATGGTTGTTGTCAAAGCTGCCTCACCTGTGCGTGACGTGTGTTTGCTGTTGCCTGGATTGTGCGTCCTCCTTCAGGTGATGCCGGGTTGCCCCCCAGTGAGCAGATGCTGGCCTCCCCGGGGACAGAAACTGCTATGCTCCTTGTGGACCGCTGTGGGGCTTTCTAAATGGTTCTTCTGGTGGTTCTTGGGAGGGAGGACTGTGCAGGGTGTGGACAGGTAGGGGGCGTGGCGTGATCAAACATATGGTCCTTTTGTTCCTACCTTGGCTCTTGAAAGCTGATCTTCTGACAGCTCTTCATCGCCTGCCAGACTATCTCCCCCCTCTCTGTCTTCCTGCCTGTATAGCAAACTGCCTGGGAAAAGGCAGCCTCACACCTGAGAATGCTCTCATGTAGTTTCCTGTAAAGTTACTGGAGGTTTCCTTTCTGCATTTTGGTCAGATAGGCTCCTGGGGGGGGGGGTGTCTGGCATTTCTTCCTTGAAGTAAGGCGGCTGCTATTCTTCAGGGGAAGGGTGGGCACAGTAAACCTAGAAATGAAGGTGGAGGGGCTTGCATTGGAAGGAGTGATTGGCTTGGGTTTATTTAAGGCTGAGAAGGCTTCTTTACTCCCGGGAGCATCATACTTGAAGGGATAGCCGGGTGTCGAGACTATGAACGTCAAGGAACAAACCAGTTGTGGCAGAACCGAGTGCTTGTCTGTCACCACAGCATATGTATCTGATGCCCCTTGCAAATATGAGTTTAATGATTAGCTACTGAAATTTTCGTAGCAGGAGGTAAGATGAACATCTGGCAGAGGTTGAGAGCGAAACTGAGGTAGGAGACCAAGTTCTCGGCTGATTGTCTTTCCAGTATCTGAGTTCTGAGTCCCCATCTAATCGCAAGTTTCATTGTACTTTGCTGGTTAAACGTGAGCTTAGCTACATTTGAGATCTCAGTTTGTTGTTGTTAGCTGGAGAAGCTTGTCTTCAACATTCAGCCTGCACTCATCTCTCTCTCTCTCTCTCTCTCTCTCTGCTCTTCCTGTGGGGAGGGAACTCAAAGCAGCTTACAACGTCATTCTTCCCTCCTCCATTTTATCCTCACAACCCAGAAAGGTGGGTTGGGCTCAGAGAGTGAAGACATGGCACTGCCCTATACTGAATCAGACTCTTGGTCTGCCAAGATCACTGTTGTCTACTCAGACTGGCAGTGGATCTCCTGGGTTTCAGGCTGAGGTGTTTCACATCACCTACTGGCTGCCAGAGCCTTTAGCTGGAGATGCCAGGGACTGAACCTGGGACCTTCTCTGTGCCAAGCAGATGCTCTTAACATTGAGCCATGGCCCCTCCCTAAAGTCAGTGTTGTCTACTCAGACTGGCAGGGGCTCTCCAGGATCTCAGGAAGAGGGCTTTCCCATCACCCACTGCCTGAGCTTTTAAACTAGAGATGCCGGGGATTGAACGTGGGACCTTCTGCATGCCAAGCAGATGCTCTACCACTGAGCCACAGTCCCTCCCTTGACTGACTCAAGATCGCCTAGCAAGTTTCCATGGCAGAGTGGGGATTTGAATCCAGTTCTCCCGGATGCTTGCCTGACATTCTGGACATGCACCACACTGGCTCACTAGGGCACAGTGGCTGTCAATTATTTTGTAATCGTAAAACCAGCACCTTGTTTGTGCACAAAGGATTGTTTCCTGGCAAAGTACTGGTATTCCAGTTGGATGTCCTTTTTCTTTGAGGCACTGACTCCCGTGTTACATCACATTGTGGCTTGACTAGGCAAGGCTGACGGCAGGCTTCCCCGTTTCAGGCACTCTGCAAGCATGCCGACATTTGAGAGAGCTGGCAGTTCATGTCTGGAGGGAAATGGTGCAAGGAAATCAGAAGAGTGCCCTTCGTGGTGCGATGGCTACAAGGTGTTTGGCCTAGCTGTCACTGAAGTGGTAAACTCGGATCTGGACCGTGGGCCTCAATTCATGTGTTTTTCCATTCAAAAATGAAAAAGAATCCATTCGCGTACAAAATTATCCTATTGTGGAGGTCCCTTCGCGTACAAAATTATCCTATTGTGGAGGCAAGGTCTGGCTTATTTTTTGTCCTGGCAGGCTGCTTTTATTTATGGAGGGGATTCATTTGCGTACAGATGTAAGTCTGTATAGATGTGCAGATCTACCACCTTCTCTAACTAGAGTCTGGTAGATGTCTGACCAGAGAAACTCTTTACCAGCCTGGCTTCAGGAGCTGGCCTCAATTGAGGATTGTGGATTTTTAAAAATTCCTTGTCAGGTTTTAGAAACCTGCAAAACTGTGCCACGGTACTTGGTCTTCTGCTGAAGGACTACAGGTGCCAACTACAGACAAAAAGGGACCCAAGAAAGAAATTTGAGAACTGTTTGGCACAGTGCTATGTGCCTCCTGTCCTGGAATGTTTTGGGGTGCTCGTCCTGGAGAGCCATGAGGACTGGGGGGGCAAAGGGTCAGATGTCATCTGTTTGACCTGACCGTAGCCCTAGGAACTGGGCCAAAAGAGAGACAGAGTGAGGAGAGATTAAAGCGAGGAGACCTGAGTAGATCTAGGCTTGGGTGAGCAGAGTGTGGAATGTGGTGTGTCCATCACCGCTTTGGATGGGAGGTGAAAGGGGCTCCTTCTGTTGAGTTGTTGTTTTTTGCCGTCAAGTCACAGCTGACTTATGGCAACCCCACAGGAGTTTCACGGCAAGAGGCGTTCAGAGGTGGCTTGCCATTGCCTGCCTCCACGTCGCGACCCTGGCATTTCGTGGTGGTCACCCATCCAAATAGGGCCAACCCTGCTTAGCTCCCGAGATTTGATGGGATCAGACCAACCTGGGCTGTCCAGGTAAGGGCTTCTGTTGGAGTAAAGGTAAAGGTTCCCTTGCTCGAAAGCCAGTCGAATCCGACTCTAGGGTTGCGGTGCTCATCTCCGTTTCAAAGCCAAAGAGCCAGCGCTGTCCGAAGACGTTTCCGTGGTCATGTGGCCGGCATGACTAAACACCAAGGCGCACGGAACGCTGTTACCTTCCCACCGAAGTGGTCCCTATTTATCTACTTGCAATTTCTTGCTTTCGAACTGCTAGGATGGCAGGAGCTGGAGCTAGAGATGGGAGCTCACGCCATCATGCGGCACCCGGGTCTCGAACTGCTGAACTACTGACCTTCCACAGCCTGCAGTTCAGCGTCTTAACCACTTGAGCCACCGCAGCTACTGTTGGAGTAGGGCCTGTTAAACATTGGATCAAGTTTGAATGGTTAGCCTTTATGTGGTTACACTGAAGACCAGCCCCATCTCTTCTTGATGGCTGTCTCTGTGTGTCCTCAGTTGATGCTGATGAGCAAACAGCTTCCCAGGAGTCTATGAACACATACCCCTCTTCCTAGAACCTGGTGGGCTGTGTTATTTTAAACAGCCTTTTGGAAATCCTCCTGAGTTCTCACAAGCTTTTATCAGGTTCTGCCATAGGAAGATTTGGCTAATGGTGCATAAGCTTTCCTGAAGACAGCTTTTTCTCCAGTAGTGGGACCTGTAAAATTACCCTGTAAAATGTGCAGCTGCCATGGAGTGTGAGGTGCATTCTAGAGCACGTTCTCGGCTCATGGCGCATCATCTCATAGTGTGCCAAAGAGCAAGAGTCCAGAAGCACCTTGAAGGTGAACAAAATCTGTGGCAGGGTACGAGCTTCCGTGGGTCACTGCTCACCTCTTCATCTTTTACAGTGTGTGCTTCGTTTGTGCAGGGAGGTGAAGCCCAGTAGGCCTGATCATACTGGGCACCTTGTTTGGATTTTGCGCACCCTAAAACATTCTCCCAAAACCTTTGCTCATGTTCCTGGGCAGACGGCATGGAAAGGGAGTTTAAGAACCACTGTGCTTCATCAGTACACGCCAGTGCTTGGAACGCAGGAGCAGTGTGATTCCTGGTGGCCAAGGAGATGCAAACTGGGAATACCAGCTGAGGTAGCTTTTAAGACACCCTCT